CACCGTGCAGAGGGGCCGTGACGCAGATGGCGACTACCTCTACATACTTGACAAGGAGACACAGGACATTGTGAAGCAGATCCTAAGCCAACAGGGCGAGGGCGAGGGCGGGGAAGTAAAAGTGCCACTTGGTTCCAGTGAAGAGGACGATTTAATCATTGAGCTGCCGGCCGGCAAGAAGATTGGTCTCCCCCAGCTACAACGAATGAGGCGGGCGTTCGTGGGACTCAACCGTGGCGGGATAGGATTGGACCCCCTGGGCAACATGACTGCTGACCGACTCAGAGAGGCCTTTGTCCGCTATCTAAACGCTGCTTTCGAGAATGAGGAATAAGAAAACAATATCCATGTGTCAAACACTTTCAGTAGCAGCATCATGAATCAGGGCTACGAGATGGAGCTTCTTGCTGTGTCGGGAATCTTCTGGCTTGAGCTCAGGCTTCCGAAAGATCATTTGCCTCTGGCGGCTGGTGGCTCATCCTTTTTAATTGCAGGTTGTGCAAAATTGGCAAACTGCCTCATAATATCTACTACAATGGTGGCACCAGCGAAGCAGGTGGAACGACGGTGTGCTCAGCCCATCAATGCTTAGAGTCAATTACTAATGCAAGGCAGCTATCGCTAGCTCCGTATTCGTGGACGTAGGGAACCTCTGGATGGGCATGAAACGCTGTCATGGCAGGCTAGGAAGCTGAGTATCTAGTGCAAGGTAATATTTGAGCAGGCAGGCCATATTTCAACGTAAGACAATAATGGCTTGGGCCTACCCTTGCCACATCTGATTAATTAGCGGCTTGAGTCATCCCGGGGAGGCGATAATGGGTTTCTGGTGTTGCGTGGACGAGGCTGCCTGAAAGCAACCAAGTCAACAAGTGTACAAAGCAAAGCGCCAGAAAGTGGAAACCGGGAGAAGCTTCGACCGACTCGTTAGGTGCTTTCACTCAACAAAGTACCTTTGGAGCTAGCTTAGTGTAGGCCGCCATACAATATCTGAGACAGGTACATCTGGCTCAGGCCGCGTCTTAGATTTTCCGAGCCGGGTCCTCGAATCAGTGATATCATTGGCCCACCGCCTTCGCCTGGCACCTGCGGTTGCCCGAAAGGTACCGCTCTATCTCCACGAAACGCTGCTGGCCTCTGGATGCAGCTTCGAACCTTCACCTCTACTTAATAAAACCATCTCCATCCATCCACACATCTTTCGGTCCTTCGTATCGAATTCTTCCCCCTACAAGCCGCAGTTTGCTTGCTTCCTCCGTCGTCAACGCAGAGAAGTTTTGCAAGCCGGTTTCTTCTTCCCTGCCATCACCAGCCTGAACGACCCTGTTACGACCCGCCAACGCCAACACCACAGCGAAGCTTTGTTTTTAGGCCCAATCACGCAAGATGGCTCCTCACGATGATGAGAAGAAGAAGGTCAACCTGACGTATGTACCTGCACGATTTTGACCCTGTATTGTTGCGATGGCATCCGAGTTCAAGAAGCTAACTGTCCCAAAGCGACCCCTCAGGTGCCGAGATCAAGAATGTACGTTCAATCCTCCATGCTTCATGGCATTTTCACAGCCGACAGCTACTGACAAGTTCACCAGGAGGATGATGTCTCAACGGCGATCCTGAAGAAGAAGAAGAAGCCCAACCAGCTTATGTACGTCCCTCTGCCCCTCAACGACGATCTTGAACGTGCGCTGATAGTCGACCAGGGTTACCGATGCCACAAATGATGACAACAGCATCATCGGTCTCTCAGAGGCCACCATGGACTCTCTCCAGCTTTTCCGTGGTGACACAGTTCTTGTCCGAGGCAAGAAGCGCAAGGACACCGTCCTCATCGTCCTTGCTGAGGACGATATCGATGACGGCAGTGCCCGCATCAACCGAGTAGTCCGTCACAACCTTCGTGTCAAGCACGGTGACATGATTACCATCCATGCTTGCCCTGATATCAAATACGTATGTTGCTCTGCCTCCTCTCACTCTGATCTCGTATATCTAACCCCCACCACAGGCCAAGCGTATCGCTGTTCTCCCCATCGCCGATACCGTAGAGGGTATTACCGGCTCTCTCTTCGACGTATTTCTTGCACCCTACTTCCGTGAGGCCTACCGGCCTGTCCGCCAGGGTGACCTGTTCATCGTTCGTGGTGGTATGAGACAAGTCGAGTTCAAGGTGGTCGAGGTCGATCCTCCAGAGTATGGCATTGTTGCCCAAGATACAGTCATTCACTGCGAAGGTGAACCTATCCAAAGAGATGAGGAAGAGAACAACCTGAACGAAGTCGGTTATGACGATATTGGTGGCTGCCGAAAGCAGATGGCCCAGATCCGAGAAATGGTTGAGCTGCCCCTCCGCCACCCTCAGCTGTTCAAGTCCATCGGTATCAAGCCCCCTCGAGGTGTCTTGCTTTACGGTCCTCCTGGTACCGGTAAGACTCTCATGGCCCGAGCCGTGGCTAATGAGACTGGTGCTTTCTTCTTCCTTATCAACGGACCCGAAATCATGTCCAAGATGGCTGGTGAATCCGAGTCCAACCTTCGAAAGGCTTTTGAGGAGGCCGAGAAGAACTCTCCTGCTATCATCTTTATTGATGAGATCGATTCTATCGCCCCCAAGCGTGAGAAGACAAACGGTGAGGTCGAGCGCCGTGTCGTGTCTCAGCTCCTTACCCTCATGGACGGCATGAAGGCCCGCTCCAACGTCGTTGTCATGGCCGCCACTAACCGACCTAACTCGATTGACCCTGCCCTCCGACGATTTGGTCGTTTCGACCGTGAAGTCGACATTGGTATCCCCGACCCAACTGGCCGTCTTGAGATTCTTCAGATTCACACCAAGAACATGAAGCTCGGCGACGACGTCGATCTTGAACAGATTGCTGCCGAGACCCACGGTTACGTCGGTTCCGATGTTGCTGCCCTTTGCTCAGAGGCTGCTATGCAGCAGATCCGTGAGAAGATGGATCTTATTGATCTTGACGAGGACACCATCGACGCCGAGGTCCTTGACTCCCTTGGTGTTACTATGGAGAACTTCCGCTTTGCCCTCGGTGTTTCCAACCCCTCGGCTCTGCGTGAGGTTGCCGTTGTGGAGGTTCCCAACGTCCGCTGGGAAGATGTTGGTGGTCTGGAGGAGGTCAAGCAGGATCTGCGCGAAAGTGTTCAGTACCCTGTCGACCACCCCGAGAAGTTCCTCAAGTTTGGTCTCTCACCTTCTCGAGGTGTTCTGTTCTACGGTCCTCCTGGTACTGGTAAAACTCTCCTTGCCAAGGCTGTCGCCAACGAGTGTGCCGCCAACTTCATTTCCGTCAAGGGTCCCGAACTTCTCAGCATGTGGTTCGGTGAGTCCGAAAGCAACATTCGAGACATTTTCGACAAGGCCCGCGCAGCCGCCCCTTGCGTTGTCTTCCTTGATGAATTGGATTCCATTGCCAAGGCTCGTGGTGGATCTGTCGGTGATGCTGGTGGTGCTTCCGACCGTGTTGTGAACCAGCTTCTGACTGGTAAGTAGAACAATTTCACTCTATGCTAGTTGAAGTACGATACTAACTTAACTTTTTAGAAATGGACGGTATGACCTCAAAGAAGAACGTTTTCGTCATCGGTGCTACCAACCGACCGGAGCAGCTTGACCCTGCTCTGTGCCGACCTGGTCGTCTGGACTCTCTCATCTACGTTCCTCTGCCTGATGAGCCTGGCCGACTGAGCATCCTCAAGGCTCAGCTGCGCAAGACCCCTGTCTCCACTGACGTTGACCTTGGCTACATTGCCAGCAAGACTCACGGCTTCTCCGGTGCCGACTTGGGTTTCATTACCCAGCGTGCTGTCAAGATTGCCATCAAGGAGGCCATCAGCCTTGACATTGAGCGCACCAAGGCTCGTCAAGCTGCTGGTGACGAGATGGAGGTTGATGATGATGCTGAGGACCCTGTTCCTGAGCTCACCAAGGCCCACTTCGAGGAGGCTATGCAGATGGCCCGAAGATCAGTCACTGATGTTGAGATCCGTCGTTATGAAGCCTTTGCCCAGCAAATGAAGAACGCCGGACCTGGAGCTTTCTTCAAGTTCCCCGAAAGCGGGGCCGCTGGAGAGGCTGACGCCGGTGCTGGCAACTCTTTCGGCGATGCCGGTAACGATGATGACCTTTACAACTAAATTTCTCGGGCAGGTAGTTGGTGGACAGGACACGGCTTTAGTCCTTTGTATTTTACGCTTTATCTCCGTAAATCTGGATTGACGAATGCGCGGCTAGTGGATAGATCTTATAGTCAATTCTGGTGACCGATTTCTGGTCTGGAGTTGGTGGAATGGTCGAGGCAAGGGTAGCGAAGCTGGAGCTGTCTGCAGCATATATTACTACATCTGCTCGGCAATGTGGTAACAATGCCCCTGCGAAGGTGGATTCATACAGCGATGCGCCTCTTAATCAGACAGAACGAAACGAGATGCCACTTGGTAGACACATGAAAATTGATTGCGATTTTAAATTAAAGACCCAGAACAAGAGCAATTGTGAACAAACCCGGATGATTGAGCCCTACAATGTAATAGTTCTAAGTAGGATCTTGAAACAAAGTGAGGTCTGTTTGTGTGCATAAGATGCCGTCATGTTAATTTGAAGTCTATTGTATCGTACTTGTCGTATCATGTCATGTGAATGTGCTTTCAACTCGTAAAGAGAGCTATCATACCACCCACCCATCCCGCCTTTCATCGGGTATTCCCCTGCGTTCGTGTGCCACTGATATGTGCTCTCCAACCTCAACCTCTCTTGTGATTATCCAGAACCGTCCTTGCAGCTGAGGACTTTTTCAAATGGCCAATGGTACCTCCCGATACCTTGATCCCGAGATGTGAGGATGAAACTGCTACGTCCTCGCCCACCACATCTCGGTATTCGAGGTAAGTAGAGACATCCTTGAGGCCATATAACTTTGCTCGTTACTCCTTTCCACCATTCTCGTACAATACATACAGCCCACCGGTTCATCCCCTACCCCTCTTCACGAAGACCCGTCATCCTCGACCTCGCACAGCGCCTCGAGGCTCTCGCGCGTGGTCCTCAGCGCGTCCTCGATGACGCTCTCGGGGACGGCGAGGCTGGCCTTGTCGCTCGTGGACGTGTTGGAGTTGCCGTTGCTGCTGCTACTGCCGCTGCTCTTGGCGGAGTCGCCGTTGGTGGGCTTGCCGCCGGCGAGGGAGTCGCTGCGGATGTCGTCGAGGACGCGGGCGAGGAGGGCGGGGTAGGTCGAGACCTCGCCGGAGCGGAGGAGGGAGAGGGCGTGGGCCTGGACGAGGGTGGGCCAGTTGGTTGTGTTGGAGTTGAGGGAGTGGAGGAGGGAGTCTTGGATTCTGAGGAAGGAGGTGTCGCGTGAGTCTTTCCTGCCGTGGTTTGGACGTGTACAATGGAGAAGGAGGGGGTGGGCGGGCTGCTTACTTGTTTATGTGGCCGTCCCGGATGAGCAATGTGTTGATCTGTGAGCGCAGGTCTGGGTCGAGCGTGGCGGGGGTGTAGGAGGAAGCTGAGGGGGGCACCTTGACGGGCGTCGAGGGTGGCTGCGACATTGTGGACGAGGTTTGACGGATCGTGAAGGCTGATCCGGTTTGTGGAGGGGAGGGGGGGACGGGGGAGCTCGGGGGATGAGTGACGTGATGCCGGGTTGTATGTCCGGTAGCTAAGGAGCCGTTCGCGCGCCGGGAGTCGCTTCCTGGGCCTGCCTGTTGAAGGTCAAGAGGCTGGCAGACAATCCCTCGAGCTGTATCGGCTGTCGAACGTTAGCGGGGTGTCCTGGACGAGGCATCACACCGGCGGGCTAGGCGGTTGGCAGGAGCCAATTCCTCGGTCCCAGCACCGGGACGATATGGCGGGCTAGGATGCAAGCAGAGCTATGCAGCAAGCAAGATGCAAACCACATGCACCCGTTGTTTGATGGGTGGAGGTAGAGGTGGGGGGAACGTGAAAGCTGGGGGACCTACATGCTGGTCTGCGGCGATGGGGTGGACGCGGCGCGGCGACGGCAGAGCGTGTGGAGGACAGTCGAGCAATGGCAAGGCTGAGGCTTGAAGGGTTTTGGAGCTGCGCAAGGCTGAGAGGGCAGATTTGGTGTGCTGTGGGTCCGCGTCCGGACTCTCAATGGACCTGCTCAGCTTGTGAATTGGCGCTGGCTCCGCGTCGCGGTTGGCGCTGAAAACCCACCGCCGCATTGATGGGAAAGAAGCTAGTGGGGCGCAATCGGAGATGAGGCTGGTGCTTTGCTGGGGCTGGAGCATGTGCGTGCGGCGCCTGAAAGCGTGTCGCGAGGCCTGTCCGGTGCCAACTTAGGCGGAGGGCAGGTACCTACGGAGTACATGCTATAGCACCCTCCCCCGGCTTGCTCAGTAACTTCCTGGGTACATGGTCATTGATGCACTCCAGTTCAGTCGGCCAATCCAGTACCCGGCAGCGCCCGAATATGTCTCAATCTTTCCACTCTCCTTTTTTCCCCGGTCTCCTTCTTCATCATCAGCTGGGCCTTTCCAACTAACGTAGCTAGTTTCCTGACCGACCTGTGTTTAATGGGCCCTGTCGGGGACTAGCAGTGACTCTCCGAAGACATTTAGTCAGAGCCCGCTAGCCCCATCCAGTCAGCGACTCGCTAGGACGGCCCTCATCAAACTGGGGGGGAGGGCCCGCTGTGGAATTGGGGCGCTTGGAATGCTTGCCAACCACGCCGCCTGTCCGTTCACTCGTCCGAAATCCATCGTCTCTCGTCGGCTCCGGACGAGCATGTACCTGCAAACCCTGTTCCACGCCCCGAGTCTGTGTGTCTTGGGTCTTGGTCTTGCTTCCCAAAACCCTCCGACACGGTGTCTGGCCCAACTGTAGGCTGCTGCCTGACCTGTCTGAGTCGTCTCAACTAAAGACAACGCATTATTGCCCCGAACCCCATGCACCCAAGAGCGGACTCTGCCCATGCCGGCCTGGTCCGCTACCTGCATCCGAAGTCATCCGCTAAGCTTTATGCTCCCGGCCCCGACTCCCGTCCCTCTTACATCTTCCCCGTTTAGGTTTGCTGTTCTCGGACATGTCCCCTTGCCAGACTACCCTGGAGATGGACGCAAACTGATCCTGGACTCGGCCGCCGCATTCGAACATCATCCTCATTCAAGTATGTACAAACCGTTTCGGAGATTAGGTGGATTGTCAAAGTAGCATTTTGTTTTTCTTCTTCCTCCTGCTGCCTGACTGATTCGGCCGTGTTTTCTCAAACAGGTTTTCCCTGTTTTGTTTTTGGTCACATCTCGTTAACGGGTCATAGAGTTTATGACTGCGTCTGGCCACCTCGTGTCTCGTGTCAGGCTACACCTTTTGAGAGCCGTGCATATCACTGTTTCGACATTCCAGCCACTCACGTTAAACCAGGCATGATGCCCAACACTACATCTGCAGCAACTTCTGTTTTCTTCTCCTCGAGGTGATAACATGGACGGCAACCATTATGAATGTAGGGTGGTCGAGACCGCCACCCGAAACTGGGTTGCCATCCCTATTCCTACATCCCCACTACACCCTATATGTATCATTGCTCGGGGTCAAGCCCGAATTACTCGAGTTACACCCGCCAGGACGAGAGCGCAGACCTTTTAACATCACGGGAGTAGGAGAAGGGGACTGATAGGCCAGCGAGCCAGGCTACGGCCCGGGCCGTACTCTCCCCGTAAGAATCCGTGATTCGAATTGGTTATTCTCCCAGCTGGGCTGGCCCTAGGTGGGCGGAGGGGTCGGGTGTGAGCAGATAGCATCGCAAAATGATACATTGCCTAACCTTCACCGACTTCCTGCATCTTCCAATGGCAGAGGATGTTGCGCCTCGGCCCACATTATGCTTGCCTTCCCTCGACACCCCCAGTCCCTGTCCGTCACATGAGGTACCGCGGCCGCGGGAGCAAGGTTCTTGGTTGATAGTAACTCGATGCGCTGGACAAATGGATTATGGCTTGGGATTTGTGATAATTTGATTTCCGTGCTGACCGTTCTGCCGGGAAAGCATCCCATGCAATCAACAATCGACCCATAACCCGAGCCAAAGTGCGGTGAGCGGAAAAGAATAATCAAATGCCACATTGGCGTGCGAATATTGCAGGTTTGGGAGTCTGCTCCAAATGCAGAGGGAGCTCCGGACACAGGCAGGTACGTATCAGAAGGAACAACATGGAATTCCTCTGTTGCCCCGTGGGGCAGTTGGCTGGCACCCCCATATTGCATTGCATCACAGACACCCAAACATATATCCGGACACGCTGGGTGACTGCATGGTCACGGATCCGATCCCTGCCCCGGCCGGTCAGTGCAGGTGTGGCGACTTCAGAGTTGTAACAGGTTCTGCCGCTACCCAGAACGTGGCTCCTCTTGTGCCACGCTCCAGCTGCTGTAAGACACAGCTTGTGAGATCACCAAGGAAAGGTGCATGGTAAAGAAGCCCAAGGGGGTACGGAACACGGTGGAGTGAGGATAGGTATGTTGGCTCTCTACGTTGTACATATACATAATACAGGATGCAGGGGCTTCCCGTGGATAGTAGATGTATGCTGGGTTTGTGGAAGCATATCCCGGGAACGTCGGTGAGCCGTAGCCAATAGGATCAAAGTGGGAAGGCGGTGATTCGGCTCCGAATCCTAATATGCGGAGCAATTTGACTGGTCCGCGGACATCTCCGGTTGGTAAGTGGTTGCGCTTTGATCCTGTGTCGTCCTAGGCCATCCTTCCTACATGGGTATGGGAGAATGAGCTTCTAAAGGCGGATGGTGCCCCGCGAATGCGGGCGTTGAATGCCGCAAGCCGGTCAGTCGTGATGAGTGACTTTTAATTTTGGCAGCGGTGCGATTGGGTTATGTTTCCATTGGTCCACGACTCCAGCTCGCGTTAGCATACTCTTCCAAGCGGTGTTTCTGTGACATGGCACTCCATGTAGGCAGAAGCTTGATTCTATACAGCTAGGTATGCACACTTGTGTCATCTCTTCATTGTGGAATCTTTGGCGGCGAGAAGAGAAAACACCACTATCATATATCGGATTGTCGTTGATCTCACTAGAGCCGATTCTGGATATAAAGGCCTTGGACTTGCGCTTCGTTATCTGTTTGTGGCCGAAAATGACGAGTAACATCTGTGTTCCCCATGGAGAAAAAGCAAAATGCTTGTGACTGGACAGGGTGGCACAACGGCTTCTCCTGTTTCGGGTTGTCGGGCTTGCTGCTGTGTCAGATCTCCATCATGAGGATAAAATGTGTTCAATGGGCCAGGCCGCAAGCGTATGTGATTGGCGTTTTGTCTTTCTATTTTCAAGTTAACCCCTGCACTTAGCATATGAAAATGCCCAAGCGGCTGAGATGGGATGCTTATTGTCAGATGATTGAAAAAAAAAAGCTGGAAGCAGCTTGTGATGATGGCATGCTGCTTCCTTGCCACAAATGGCGGGCAAGACGAGAATGTATTGACCAAACGCATCAGGAAAGCTGCTAATGCACAATGAGATTACCTGTGGCACACACTGGAGCCGGCGGCGCATCGATCGGTCTTGAGGCTGGGCGCTCTCTGACCCAAGTGACTGGGTAGGGAGGCATCCCCGTCCTTCACCCTGGTGGAATGCTCTCCCACCTTGTGGGGCCATGGCATGGGGTGTCCAGCCGTCATTACATAGTATGGCACTAATGCCTCTAGCATGAAGGTGAGAGACGAGGGCTGTCCGAACTTCTTTTGGTGTTTGGGTCGACATGTACTCGTCTACAAGTCCCGTGCGTTGATGCGTTGCCGGCAAGACAGTCGCAGAGAAATGGCTCACCTGCGTGCGTCATCTGAAGGGATGGCTGCTGCTGTACGCCACGGGGAGCGATTGGATGCATGCGGATTTGGTGATAATCCTCGCACATACTCATGGATATGAGCAAGTAACGGCATCCTGCAGCGCAACTCGACATGGTTAGTTGAATGCCGGGTCCGCGAAGCGGCGACACCCGCGATAGTGCTCGAGGTGCGATGACAGCGAATTCACCTATGAGGGACATGCAGCCAGCCTGGGATGGAGCAGTTGGTCACCACGCACGGATTCTGTCCGTAGTCAAAGTCCCTGTTTTGGCGAGTCGGTGAGGGAAGGTTGCATAGTGGGCGGATGAGACAATTCAGCGAGCAGGAGAATGCTCGGAGCAATGGCACTCTCCCGCTGATTGATCACAGCAGGCGATGGGAACCAACTGCTTTCTGTCATTTTACCCAATGCCGTCTGGGAAACTGCGACTCTCGATACATGCCCCCTCGCAGCCTCTCGCAGGCCGGTACCTTGCAGTGCTGATATGGTACCTGCGGTGTCTGCTAAGCTGCGCCCGTCCGCCAGGTACCTGCGTCGTACTCGGGTGTCTGCATCGCGACTTGCCCGCAGGCAAACTTACCTCACCTTGCATCATTAGGCTCTATACGGCAGGAGCACTCGCTCCAGTTTAGGTGCTGTGCCTTCCACGTTTTTCCCGCCTTCTAGCTCCGATCCCAGCCCAGATGAAAGCGCGTCCCAGCTGCCTCGTCCCAGCACTAA